ATGTCCATTGGACGAAGACTGTGGAAATAGCAGCTCTTCGTTTAATGTTGTTGATAGCATCAAGGCTCCGATGGAGCAGAGAGTGGGGACACTGGACGACGTCAAGTGCGTGTTCCCACGGGTCTCGATGAGATGTAAGACCTTCATATAGAGGAGACGACCATGACAAATGATATCTGCAAGACGCAGGGCATCAACCCTGACACAGGGTGTGTCTACCGTAGATGATACCGCACAGCTATATACCCTAGTCAACGGTATGACGGGAGAGGAAGACGGCGATTTTGCCCTCAAGGTTATTCCCGCGGTGGATGCTCTTCTTGAGCTCGACAAGATTTCCTTTGAAGGGTTTGGCGGTGCCTTGAAGGCTTCGTCTCCAAAGAACTGCCGACGGTCCTACCTCCGGACCGAGGTGTGCGTCATGATATTGACCTGGTTCCGGGAGCCAAATACTACGTAACACGCCGATGGCCCTGCCCAAAGAGCAGTGTGACGTCATTGACGCCTCCTTCCTTGCGAAGCACGACGCAGGAATAGTGCGTGCGAGTAAGTCTCCGCATTGGACATCCACATGTTGTGTCCGGAAGCCGAACGACAAGCGGCGTATCGTTCACGCTTACAATAAGCTGAACACAGTCTCCATTCCGGCACAAATGCCGATTCCTAGAAAGAATAAAGTACAGCGCGCTCGACTTGGTCGATGGTTATTAACAATGAGAGTGAGCGATATTCCGCTGTCAGCGGTGAGTATACAGAGCGGGATGCTCTGGGAGTGGCTGGAGATGCCCCAAGGGCTGTCAAATGCACAAGCAATATTATATCGTCTTGTCACGCAATAGTTCAGGCCCCACCGGGTGTATACACAAAAATACTTTTAGATGTCATCTTCGTCCACAGTCGTGCGGGGCACGGGAGGATAGATGTGGATAACCACATCGTCCATTTGATAGCGGTGCTCGAGTGCATGCGCACGAATCAGCAGTATGCTCATGCCGATAAGTGCATCGTCGATGCAAAAAAAAAGTCTTTTAGGGTGCTTCATAGGGAAGCGTGGCCTTCGAGCGGATCCCGCTAAGGTCGACGTCATCGTGGACCGACCGGTATAAAGGAACCAAAGGGACTTGCGCAAGTGGCTTGGCCTCACCAACTACTTGCACAAGTATAGTGCAAATTTTGCCAAAATGGCATGGTCATATTCGAATCTCCCAGAGAAGGATACGGAATGGTGTTGGGACACCGAGCATCGGGAGGCATTTAATAGGGTCAAAGACAGCCGTTTTCATGCACCGATACTGGCTTTGCCAGACCCCGAACGTCCTTTTAGTGTCTTCTGTGACGCTTCGGACTTTGCCATCGGCTGTGCACTGCTGCAAGCAGACGCCGAGGGGCGAGATCGGGTCTTCGCATTCGAATCTCGCCAGCTTAAGGCTGCGGAGAGTAAATACCCACTCCACGACAAAGAAGTACTTGCGATGAAGTATGCACTTGTCAAGTTCAAAGTGCACCTGCTTCGCTCAATGCCGTTTGCGATCTAGACAGATCATGCGTTATTATCCACTGCAATTCAGTCGCCTCATCTCTCGCAGAGGTTAGCCAGGTGACTCTCATTTTTTGCAAAATATAACTTCGAGATGAAGTATAAGCCGGGAAAGCAGAATGCTTTGGCTGATGCATTGTCACGCAGGACGAACTATGCTTGCTCATATCACGACAGTGACGTCGTCAGTGACGGATTTGATCCGTGCCGCATACGCTGGTGATAGTAATCTGTGTAGCGCTTATACAGGCTCTCGAGAGCAAGGATTTTGATAAACTCGGACAGAAAAAACTGTCGGCGCGTTTGCGCGCACCATTACACCAATGTTGAATATCGGTTTGCTGTACTGTTGCACCGATTCAACGGATACGTCATGAATTGTGGTTCCTCGCGATAAGAATTGAAAAAATATACTGTATCCTCTATAAGGCCCACGAACCCCAACTCAGTGGTCATCTCCGTCGTGATAAGACGCACAGCTCGGTGAGTTACCACTATTGGAGACACAAGCTGTACAAATGGACGAGCACATATGTGTGTACGTATGAGACGTGTCATAGGATGAAACCCTCTCCAAATGCGGCAACACCGCTGGCCAGTTTACCGGTACCCTCCGGGTGTTGGCATCCCATGAGTATGGATTTTGTAATTGGCCTGTCAAAGAACTCGGTGTGCAACACGGGTGAGGTAGTCTTTGCGGACCGTTTGAGCAAGGCTCATCTTGCGGCAGTGTCGGACACCATCGACGGTGTGGGTACAGCTGCGCTATTTGTCGATCGTGACTTACGACAACATGGACTTCCGGATTAAATTGTATCTGATAGAGACCCGCGCTTCACTGGGAAGTTTTGGTCTACAATCTTCAGGCTGCTGGGCACCAAGTTGACTATGTCAACAGCGGGTCAGTGCAGACCGATGGTCAAACTGAGCGCGTGAACCGCGCCGTTAAAGACGTTCGTCGCAGCGTCATGTTTCCACTAGTAGAGTTTACTCTGAGCAATGCAGTGCAGCCATCGATCGGCTACGCGCCATTCTACGTAAACGGCCTTGTTAATCCCCGCGGTCGCAATCCTTTGCCTTAGGGCTTGATGGGGGGGGAATAGCCGAACAACCAGCTGATGTCAGCCCCCTTACTTTCCTTAACGAATTCGATGGCCTCCTGTCTACCAGACGAAGTGTCCTACGACACGTTCGCGATGCGCTCAAAGCCATGACATGCAGAACGAATATGCAGGGATAAGAAGCAGAAGAAATGCGGAAAACTTTGAAGTCGAAGACCCGGTTTTACTAAATGCTAAAAAATATCGCTAAACATGCAGTCTCGTCTGACTTTAAGACAAAGTTCCGTCCACGGTTTATTGGACCTATTAAGGTCGTGGCCAAGCAAGGCCTTGCATATACGCTGAATCTTCCGAGAAAACGCGCAACCACCCAGTGTTTAATATGGGCTTGCTCAAGCCGTGCCGGGATTCGGCGCAAGTGAACGCGGAAGCGTTGACGCCGGGGCGGCGCTTAAAGGCGTCCGGCCACCCAGATGCTGAACCAGCAACTGAACACGGAGGCAACAATTTCCACTTCCAACGGCGCAAGGCGCTCCACCGTCGCACAAAGTGACATATTCGACTAGTAGCCGCTCGAACACAGCGCGATAATCCTCAAGGTGAGGCATCGGCGCACAAAGTGCTCCAGGCTTTCGAGGTCTTCCGCACAAGATGCTTAGCAGAGTGCCGATGACGACGGACTTTGTCCTCCAACGCTCGAAGAGCATCGCGAGTCACCGGACGGCGATCGACCGTGTCTTCATCTTTTGTCGCCAACTCTTCTCGATGAGAATGGTGGCGTCCACTACCACTTGGAATGCCTTGTGGGTCGACGTCGTCGACAGGGTCAACCCAATATCTTATTAAATGGCTGGATACCTAAACTCTGAGAGCTTGTGGAGGTGCCGCTTCGGCAATACTGTCTAGACATCGTGGACGATTATGATCAGAAGGATCATGATGCTGGCGCGCTTTAAAATAACCCAATACGCCTGGCTAGGCAGTGCTAGCAACCGCGACATATCGCGCTTAAACTCTCCCCACGCCGGAAACGTCTCTTTCACAGAGGAACAACACGTGAGTTCTCATCCTCGCGGGCAGCCTTCTACTTTGAAAACCGCTAGCGCTATCCCTGTTAATCCGTCTAGAACATCGCTATTGTCATGACCCAAAGAGCTGAACTCTCAACAGCAGCATCCTCACAGTGACTGTCTTCTATGCCTTCACCGATGCCTGTCTCACCTGCGCAATCTCACAGCTGATAACCCCGCCCACGCGAACGATTACTGTATCTGACCCTGTACCCGCCGATTTCTTGATCCAGTCAAAGCTTAAAATCGACATAGGCTTACTAAGCATGTTAAGTTGTCCCGAAAGTTGGTACTCAAAAACTCAGATTCATTTTCAAAGAGAACTTTCCTATCACACATCCACCGTAAAACTCTCTACGAGTGCTTCGTGCAAGTGATTACCATGCACTTTGCACAGAAGAAGCTTTGACTCAGAGACCATGTTAACAAACTCGCATAGGTTGGGTTCGTAAACTCCATCCAGGAGCAGAACCAATAGCCTCTGAAGTTATCACTTATATTGCTGGTTCCGCTATTTCAAAGTGACATAATAAAAATTTACTTTATTTACAATAATATCAAATAAATACTTATTACCAGGTCTTGATGAGAATTTCAACTACACAGAAGTACAATTCAGATTTCGTACAGTTGAAGAAAATTTGTACCAAAAGTGTTATGTGCAAGCACACAATTGTACGAGGCTTTCCCTGCTACAGACTTGTGCAGCTCCTGTAAGTCATGAATATTTACCTTCAGCTTGCGTGAGGGTTAGAAAGTATGACTTCAGTGGAACACATCTTCGCGGTTATAAATAAGTGAAACACTCATTTCATGCTCGACCCCTCAAATTTTGTCCGATCATTCTAGTTTGAAATTGAATTATATGAGTTATCACAACTGTAAATTAATCAGATAGTAATCTCATGTCATAGGTGGTTTCAGAATCTTAGCTGATCTACGTAAACATCCAAACCAGAAAGTCACTCGTCTTTCCCAGTTGGCTGTTACAATCTTAAGTCGGATCACAATAACTGCAGTACAGTGGTTAATTCTAAATGATACCGTGAACATTTTGCTGACGTCAGCATATCATGTCGCTGGATTGTGCTGATTCAGTTTCATAATTTATATTTCAGAGGTAATGAAAATTCATTCTGCCGTTTTGTAATCTTAATCGTTTTCTCATTTATTTGTTGTCTTTTTTAAAGGTAAAATGGTGGAAGTTAACCTCCATCTCATTATAAATTGATCAGTGCGCGATGTGCGCCGTCATCATCGAATATCAGAGTTGGCCGTTAGCCCGAGTACATAACTCAATTTCTTCTATCACCGCTGAGTTTTTATAAAACAATGTGGACTCACCAGCTCACGGACGTCACAAAGATCGCACGCTGCACCAGCACGACTTGGTGGAAGCGTGCGTGTTCGTCGCTGGAGGCTCGGCAGGACGAAAAGCAGCCTGAGAAATTCCGACTTGTTATTGTAGGCACAGGCTGGGCAGGCTACCAATTGTTTACGCAGTGCCGTAAGCACCTTGTGGACATTGAAGAAAACGTTGGTCGGCCCGTCGACCTTGTAGTTGTCTCCAAACGAAATGTACGATAGCCAGTCAATTAACTGCATCAAACTCACAGTTTCCTATATACTCTGCAGCACTTCTTGTATACACCGCTACTGGCTAGTACAACCGTGGGCACGCTCGACTTTCGTTCCATCATTGAGCCACTGCGCGACAGCCTTCTTAGTCAAGAGAGTGACTTTCACTTTGCCAGTGTGCAAGACATTGACCCGGAGAGAAAGATACTAAAAGTCGCGTCCGCTATCAGCGCCGAAAGCAGTAATCGCAAGTATGACATCAAATACGACACCCTAGTGCTGGCATGCGGCTCGCGTCCTTTGACGTTCGGACTCCCGGGCGTTGAGCAACATGCATTTTTCTTAAAAGAAGTGCATCACGCACAAAAGATCCGCAATCGCATTTTAGAGAACTTTGAGGCGGCAACGCAGCCTGGTGTTACGCCTGAGGAGAAGAAACGACTGCTGCACTTTGTTGTTGTGGGTGGTGGTCCTACGGGAATCGAATTTTGCGCAGAGCTGTACGATCTGGTACAACAAGATTTGGTACACAAATACCCACAGACATCTAAGCATTTGAACGTGACGCTTGTAGACTCAGGTGAGATTCTCAACGGGTTTGACAAGCATTTACGTGCTGTGGCCTTGCTAAAGATCCAAAAACGGAGCACGATGAAGATCATAAAAAAAAACTGCATTGAAGTCACTGCAGACGGTATTACGGTGGAAGGTGGTGAGAAGATTCGATCTGGTCTTGTCGTGTGGACTGCCGGAGTAGGTCCAAACGAGCTAACGAAATCTTTAACAGTCTTTGAAAAGAGTCAACGCGGCAACATCTTGACGAACCAGTACTGCCAGGTTATGGGTGCCGCCAACGTCGAAGATAAGGCTCCGTGGGGAATGCCACGTCGGTCGAACGTGTTCTCGATCGGCGACTGCGCCGAAATCCTGGACTATCCGCTACCGGCTACGGCCCAAAAAGCACAGTCTCAGGCTAACTACTTAGCAAACCTACTTCGTGGTAAAAATCCGACTCCAGCCAAGCCATATACTTTCCAAAGTAAAGGCATGATGGCGTATCTTGGCTCGTATGAGGGACTTTTCGAAGCTCATGCTCGTGATGATGACAAGATAACGCTCAGTGGTTGGAAAGCTTGGTTCTTGTGGCGTAGTGCATATCTCACCAAGCTGGGCAGCTGGCGACTTCGTCTGCAGGTGCCTCTCGATTGGCTTAAGGCGATGCTCGTAGGACGTGACATATCCAAATTCTAGGAGTTTCAGTGTTAAGACAAATACGAAATAACCGTAAAAAGGCACCTTTCATTCAGTAACGTTCAACCTGGTGAAGTCGGTGCTCAAGAATAAATATATGAAACAAAATGAGTGCCTAAATGATATTATTCCGGACATCAGTTCTGTCTGTAAACATGTTCAATGAGGGTGGTATCACGATTCTGGCTGAACCAGTTCCTCAATACAAAATTATTACTCGGAGTTGCAAATACGCAGCAAGTGCCATATTATATATTATCTCTCTTTCTGCTGGGATGACAGCAAAACGAGTGCGAATATTTATGAGCGACGAGCGATTCCATCGCAGATATAGCACAATGTTTGTTGGGTAGATCAAAACTTGAATTTGAGACTCCAAGTACATTGTAAATGAGATCGTTAGTGCGAAGTCAAAATTACAACGTACAGTCAAAATTTTAATGTGCAGAGAAAAGAAAAGAGCTAGTTCTGACTCATAACGTTAGAAATTCTAAGACCTGCCTTTCCAATAAGAATATTTTGACAACGTCACACCTCATCGAAAACGGTCGGAAAGGGTAATACCTGAATTTGCAGGTATAATTGACAGAGCATATGGCATACTGGCACATGTACTTTGGTCACGATTGTCACTAAGACAGAGAGCCAAGTTTAGGAGGACAACTAAAAAGCATCATAACGAAGTGTCATGATTAGTGCTCGTACGGACAAAAGAAATTGGCGCAAAATGGAGAATGCTAGTCTGACGCTCTGCATCGCATATGGCTTTGTTCTCTTGCATAAACGAAATCATATACATATGATTCCAATCTGAGCAAGACACATAATGAAGGCTAACGGAATCCACGCACTATGCAGCGGGGCTGCCGTAGCTCTGCGCTTTGAAGAAGCGTAAC